TGGGAAGGTGATGAAGCAGCGTGGACCTCTTTGGGAGTCGAGGAAGGCACACCTGCTGCTAGGTGGGCTGCTGCCACGCCTCCCACACGGTGGCAGGAGGAGGGGATAAGGAGCATTGCCCACTTTCTGCACAGATCCTGCGTTCTGTGCCAGCCTCAGTGTCCCGCAGCTCCCCACCAGGATGAACACCCAACATCACGGGCCTGCTCTAAGACTGCCAAAGCAAAGCCCAACATCAGAGCCCCACAGCTGCCCAAAGCTGTGACCTAGAAAACACAGCCCCTTAGGGCCAACACGCCACGAACGGGACAGACAGACCAGTGCGTAGCCGTGTCCCCTACACAAGCCTGGCCTCTCAGAACGCTGCCCCGGCTCAGGTCAACACTGCAGGCTGCCAGGAGGGGTCAATGACCCAACGGCCTTCCCCCGGCTCCTTCTGCGGACCTGGGCCCAGTGAGGGGCTGAGGAGTGGCTCCGAGCCGGGGCCCCTGCCCAGCTGGACCGTGACCTCCCAGTCTCTGCCTGGCCTCCTCGCAGAGCTGGCCTCCGCCTCAGTCTGCGCCAGCATGTCTAGCCTCCAGGCACTGTGCTCCGGCCTGCCGCTTCGGCCCCTTCCGGAGAACCGGGGACGCTGGGCCGGGGTGCCCCATGCGCCCGTCAGGACCCCCAGCCTCAGCCCCGCCGAGGAGCAGGTAAGCCATCAGCCCCATGCCCGCTGGGCCTTTTGCCCTCTGGGTGCTCTCTGGGTGCGTCCAGGTGGGCATTTCCTGTTCCTGGGTCTCTACGGGGCTGCAGCTTCTCAGCTCAGCCTCCCACCCCTGCCGCCGGGAGCCCCGAGGGGTGTCGGTGGGACAGAGGGATCCAAGTATTCCGCACCCCTTCCACCCACTTCCTCATTGCCCCCCAACTGCCATCCTTGGGTATAAGATCAGGGTACCCACCCACCACTGGGGACCTGAGGCCCAAGGTCAGAGGAGTAAAGCCTGGGTGAACAGCCCCGCACGGCCCCCTTCTGCCGCGGACACTCCGCGACTTGAAGGTCTGCAACGTAGTAGGTTGGCTCCTGCTCGCGCCTGCGCCCCTCCCCCACCTTGCAGGGAGCCCCCGGGGCGCTGGTGGCGGGGAGGGGGCGGCGGCCGCCGGGTGGCCCCCAGAGCCCCGCGGAGACGGCCCGGGGCTGGGGCTGGGGCTGGGGACGCTTGGGCCAGCGCCGCAGGCAGGTGCGACCGTCGGGGACGCCTGGTCTCCCCGTAAGCTGGGTGGGGGCATAATTCCACGGGCGCGGTAGTGGGGGCCGATACGTGAAGTAGGGGGCACGATGACATCAACAGGACTCTATCCTCGCTCAAAAGAGTCGAGAATTTCAGGAACAGTGTGTGGGGGAGGAGAGATCCAAGCACAAACTTTAGAAAAGGAACCGCACCGCCCAGACACAGACTGCGGCCCTTCGACTCCGCCCGGCACGGCTCAGGAAGTGGGAGCGGGCCCTGGGGTCAGAGGGGGGGCGCTGGGGCGGGGCAGGGAGGGCGGGGGCGGGGCGAGGGCGGGGCGGGGAAGGGAGGGCGGGGGCGGGGCGGGGAAGGGAGGGCGGGGCGGGGTGGGGCACGTGAGGGGTGTTGCTGGGGGGCAGGGCCGGGCGGGGGCGGAGGTGAGGGATGTTGCTGGGGGCGGGGCTCGGGAAGGGGCTGGACAGAGCCGGCAAGGGAGCGGCTGGTGAGGGCGCTGAGGGGAGTGCTGGGTGGTGCTGGGGGCGGAGCTCTGGAGGCCTGGCTCCGCCCCCTCCTGGGGGGTGCGCTCCTCTGGCCCAGGTCCCTAAGTAGTCATTAAAGCTTCCTTTCTCTGGGTCACCTCCCTGCTGGGCGCCAAGGCCTCGACCTTTGACCAGTGAGGGCCTGGAGGGCTCTGACAGCTGCCCATCTCAGGTGACTCTTCCAGGGCTGTGTGCTGGGCAGAGGGCCCCCGGGAGCAGAGGAGCTGGACCCCCTCAGCTTGGCCCTGGGCATGTCAAGTGTGCCAACCAACTTGCAGGTCTGGGAGTTTGGGCTGTGGACACCTGCTGGGACGCCAGGGTCAGCCAGCCTTCAGCTGGCACCTGTGAAACAGTAAGAAAGATGTATGTTGACCTCTGCCCTGACGCCCCCCCTCCTGCTAATATTTGGCATTTGACCTCAGTTCCTGGCACAAAGCTCCTAAATTCTTTGGAATTTCCTGGGTGATAGGAGCCTCTTTTGTTGCAAGGAAGCCACTGTGGGTAGGCTCCTAGATGGGGGCCCCGTCACTGAAAAGACCATTCCTTGATTAGGAACTTGGGCCTTTAGGCCCACCCCCTATTCTCTAGAGAGGGGAGAGCAGCAGGAAATGGAGTTAATAATCCATCATGCTGTGTGTCGAAGGCTCCATTAAAAAAAAATCCCTTAACTACCCTTAAGAGTTCAGAGAGCTGGGTTGCCGAACACATTGAGGTGCTGGGACAGGTGTGGTACCCTTAAGGGCATGGAGCTTCCATGCCCTTTCCCTATATCTTACCTTGTGGACCTCTTCATCTGGTGATTCATCAGTATCCTCTCTCAGATGCTTTATTATATAATAAACCAGTAGGCGTGTTTCTTTGCATTCTTCAAGCTAGTCTAGCAAATTACAGAACCTAGAGAGGGAGATCATGGGAACCCCAACATGTGGCTGGTTGGTCAGAGTACAGGTGGAAGCCTGGGATGTGTGTCTGGTGTCCGAAGTGGGAGGGGTAGTCTTTGGGACTGAGCCCTTAACCTCAGTGTGTTAGCTCTGGGTGTGAGGACTCCTGGTGGATGGTTTCAGAACTGAATTGAATCTCAGGCCACCCAGCTGGTGTGGAGAACTGGTCACATGGTGAAACCCCTCAGACCAGTCACAGAAGCATTTTTAAATAAAATAAAAATAATTAAATGTGTCTCTTTGATTTTTGACGTAAACTTTCCAGGTGATTTTAGAAGATAAGGAAGTCAAGTATTATACAAGTAAAAGTCCCCCACTTCTCCTGAGTCACCATGGCCATTTTGGGGGATATCCTTCTGCACACACTTTATGGATGTACAAAAAGTGTGTGTGTCCTTCTTAAGAATATAAATAGATACATTCTATAAGCATCAGGTCTTTTTCAGATGTTCATTGTTGGTGAGTTTAGAATTATCTCATTCGTGTTAACTGGTGTGCAGTGTTTCATTATTTGGCTGTGCTTCACTCTGTGTTCTTCTTTAAGTAGATTTCTCTGTTTAAATATAGAGTATGGTCTGGCTATAATTTTAGTCAGTGTATTCTCAGCACAAACACAGGACAACTTCGATAGTGCAGAAGGAAATTTTCATCTTAGAACAGAAGCCCTTGCTCTACCAGAGAGGTCTTCAGCACCCCCTGGCGCCATATGCAATTACTCTTAGTGACCTTTTCTCCATATCCTGTGCCACCCGCAGCGGCTGTTCTGGACATCAGATACTAGACCTGAAGACCTCCCAACTGTGTCCGTGTCCCCATCATTAACAACATACTATCTTGAGCTTCTTTTTTTAAACAATTTTATTTATTTGTTAGAGACAGAGAAAGAGGCAGAGACACAGGCAGAGGGGGAAGCAGACTTCCCATAGGGAGTCCAGTGTGGAATTCGATCTTTGAATTCGGGGATCACACCCTGAGCCAAAGGCAGACGCTCAACCGCTGAGCCACCCAGGCATCCCTATCTTGAGCTTCTTGAGAGAGGGGCTCTGTTGGGTTCATTCCTTGGTTTTTAGTGATAGTGGTATTTGTTTGTTGAATGAATAGGCAAGAGTATATGCTAAGTGTCCCAACCAAATCCTACAAGAGATTAATGGGCAGGAGAAATTTAGGAGAGCTCATTGGAGGAGGTGGTCTTGGCAACACAGGCAAGGTTCTTAGACTGAGAAATCCAAGAAGGAAGTCCATTTGAAGACAAAGGGGACAGTGAATGTGGAGAGATGGGCCTGTCCAAAGTATAGTGGAGGTGGAGGAGGCCCTATGTAGGTTCAAGCTGGCTGTAAAGCTTGGAGACTCAGGCCCAGCCCAATTCAGAGGACTTTGAAAGCCAAGAGAAGTGTGGACTTTATATGATGAGTAATGGAGAGCCCCTGAGGGTTTCTGAGCAGGGGCATGACTGGCTGCTTAACAATACTCCCCACAGAGAGTATAAAGGTTTCTAGAGATTTCCTAGAAGGGCAGGGTGGGCAAGAGGCTCAATCAGATGAAAGAATTGGCAGCATGGAGGGCCATAAGTGTGGCGGACGATCATTTTGGTGGCTGGCACTCCCAGGACACATATATGTGCCAGACCCTGTCCTGAATGTGGCAATTCAGTTAATCTCCAAGACAGCCCTATGACGTGTGTGCTGCTATTGTGCTCATGTTCCAGAGGAGGAGACTGAAGATGGGGCAGGTGAAGCGTGCACATGCCACATAGCCACCCCTCTGGGATAGACTGAGACATGAAGAGCTGGAGCACTGTAGAGGCCCCTCTGTGGAGGCCGCCACGCCCCCAGCTAGGAAGAGCTTGAGCCCCTGGTTGGGAACCAGGAGGTCTGGCTCCAGGTCGAGTAAGAGCTGGCCTAACGAAGCCTGAGCAAGAGTGGGTGAGACACTTGAGGTGATCCAAATGAGGCCACACCAGGTGGATCATAGCTATCATTTTTGACAGAAAGAGTGATAGTCGGGCAGCCTGGGTAGCTCAGCGGTTTAGTGTCACCTTGGCCCCAGAACCTGATCCTGGAGTCCAGGCTCGAGTCCCATGTTGGGCTCCCTGCATGGAGCCTGCTTCTCCCTCTGCCTGTGTCTCTGCCTCTCTGTGTGTGTGTGTGTCTCTCATGAATAAATAAATAAAATCTTCAAAAAAAATGGAGTAATAGTCAAAAACTTTCAGGTGGCTGATTTTGCCCCACCAGCACACTGCCAGGTTAGAGTGGAAGTAAGGCCTAATCTGAATTCTCTCCCCCTCTCCCTCCCCACCCCCCCCCACACACACCCTATTCTGTGAGCTAAACAAAGTCATAAGCTGGCATCATCTTAAGGGGCTCAGCCACCATGTGGGCAAGATTTGCTTATGGCAGAAGTAACACCGCTCCCGAGACAGGGTTCTATCGCTGTCTGTTATTTTCCTAGGACTGCTGTAATAAATCTCCACAAACAGAATGGCTTTAAAATAGCACAAATGTATTCTCTTACAATTGCAAGTGTCGGAAATCTGGAATGGGTTTCCTTGGGCCACAAGCAAGAAACACTAATGTGTAGGCAAGAATACTGGATTCATTTTTCTTCTTTTGCTCTCCGATTGAGTCTCATGATTCCCATTTTTCGTAGCACAAATATTATATATGAGATTGTCCTGGTTTATGCGTATGTGTCCCAAAAGTTCATAATATATTTTCAGTAGCATTAAATATGTTTTGAAATATCAAGGTAAAAAAATATATGCAGCAGAGCTGCACTCCTTCTGGAGGCTCTGGGGGTGAGGGTGGATCTCTTTCCTTGCCTCTTCTATCTTCTAGAGGCTGCCTGCAGGCCTCATCCTGTCTTCCATCCTCAAAGCCAGCTGCATGGCCAAATTCAAATTTCTCTTTCTGACTCAGACCCTCCTGCTTCGCTCTTACAAGGACTCTGATGAATATATAAGGCTGACCTGAGTAATGCAGGATAATCTCCCTTCCCCAGATCCTTAACTTAATCACATCTCTTTTCTCTTGTCATTTAACATGTTCACAAGTACCAGGGAATAGAACGCAGACATCTTTGGGGCCCCACCACACCATCAGGGACCCAGAATTCTCCAACCTGATGGCTGAACCTGGGACATTTCATGAATTAATCCTCTGGCCCTAATACAGGCCACTGAGCTTGTTAGATTTTCAGGTGGGAAGATTAAGGCCAGGTGGGAATGGGGGCTTGCCTAGAATATTCTTTCCAATTTAAGTATCTTGAATACACCTGATTTTACCAATAAGCACCCACTTATAACATGCATTATATGATTAATAGGCCATAATTTCACCAATGATAACCTACCTGTGACATTCTATATGCTGCATAGCAGACCCTGTGGTGTAGATTGAGATTTGGAGAGCTGAAGTGCTTGTGGTTGCATCCTGAGATTGCTATGCCACCTGACCACCCAGGGGGATGCCAAGGAGTATGCCTGCTGGCTCTCCCTGTGGGTGCTGTGGCATTTAAAAATAAACCAAAGACCTCTAAACAAGGAAGCTACAAAGCCAGGGTTGGGGAGGAAGCAAGAAACCCTTAGGTTCTGCATCAGGGGTCTTTAAAAAGAACAGGTGAGTTAGAGGCACTGTGTGCTGGTCAGTGTGCATGTTCTCACCTAATCCAACTACACAGTTGTACTCCGCACCAAGGGATGAAGAGACTGAAGTGAGGGTGACCAGCCCAAGTTCACACAGTAGATGGCAGGGCCAGGGGCAGCTCAGCTCAGGCTGCTGGTCCATGTTTCTCGGGGAGCTGCCAAGCTTGTCCCTCCACCCAGCCTTTCCTTGCTGAACCTCCTCTGCTGAGGTTCCCAGTGTCCGTGGGGGCACCTATCCAACCAGCCCCCTACAGGCCTGTCTTAGGTGTGTGGCAGGACCTTGGACAGACACAACCTGTCCGAGCACCATTTTCTCATCTTGATGCTGAGAACTGCTCCCAGTCAGAGACTTGGAATATTGAATCCAGGCCAGCAAAGAGAGCTGCTGCTTTGTAATTTGTTTCACTGAAGAAATATTTGCTGCATGTCTATTAGGTAACTCTAGGCTTAGTGGATAAAGTTATCGAACAAAAATATAATAGAATACTGTTGCTGAACTAAGTAAAAACATGAAATTGTAGATAAAAAGATATAGTTTATCCTGGAAAGAAAAAAATGAAAACTCGATATAAGCATAGTTGACATTAATACATGTCTAGACTAAGTGAATATCAGGGAGAAAGAAAAATTCATGGTCATAAAATGGAAATCTCATACAAGGGGAAAATATGGCACCAGAGGTCTCATGCTGCCTTTAGGACTCAGGAATTTACCAGAATCCCCTTTACGTGTAGCACATGTGCATTCTTCCTGCAGAACAGGCTGAATTGGGAATAGCCTTTAAAGACTGTCTGTTATTTTCCTAGGCCATTTTGAAGAATGGTCGAGTCATTTCTATCAACTGACACATTTTTTAAAAAGATTGCATTTATTTATTCATGAGACACAGAGAGAGAGAGTCAGAGACACAGGCAGAGGGAGAAGCAGGTTCCATGCAGGGAGCCCGATGCGGAACTCGATCTCGGGACCCAAGGTCACACCATGAACTGAGACGCTCAACCACTGAGCCACCCAGGCGCCCCTATCAACTGACACATTTCAAAATTCAAATGTCAAAATTTGACAATTTTACAGAGTCCAGGACTTCAGTAGGATTGAGTTGAGCCCCAGTAGTGAAGCCGGCCCTGCTCATTGCCACCTCTGAGTGGTTTGTGAAATCTGCTTAGGGAGTTGCAATCAGTATTTATTAGAAAATGAAATAAAAGAAGCTAGAGCAGGATAGAACATATTAGGAGCTGTGTAGTAAGGTCAAGTCTTGTGTAGATTGTGTGTGTTTGTGTGTGTTATATTGCTTTTGAAACTTCTTTCACTGCTTAGTTTTGCTGGGCATGCTCTTCTGAGAAACCGTACACCAGCTAGAAGACAACAATCTTTGTGTTGAGGTGTAACACGCATAGAAAGCAGCCGACGCGACACCATGTGTGCACAGATGTGAATGTCACAGGCACACAGGGAGAGGGGGACAAACCCCAACCTTGAAGGGGAACCACTGTCCTGACTCCTAAGTCGTGGCTTGGCCACACTGGTCTTGGCTGGCCTATCCAGAGTTATGCTGTATGTCCCTTGAATGTGGGCTTCTTTCACTCAACAGCAGGTAGGGAGCCGCATGTCTCTGTGGATGGTTTAGCTTCAGTGCTGTCCTGTAGCAGTTCCCAAAACGGGGTTCCCCAGGGCAGCAGCAGCAGCAGCAGCACTGGGAACCGGTCAGGGATGCAGGTCAGAGGCTACACCAGACCCTCGGGAGGATTCCAGGGTCTGCTGGAGTTGGAGAACCTCCGGCTGCAGCATATTCCTGGCCTCTGTTCTTGAGGGAGAAACTATTTCTCATCAGTTTTTTTCCCAAGGGACAAGGGATGATGCATGTTTATTTCACATGAAAACTAATGCCCTGAGCTGGGGTTTTCTTTATGGCCTCTCTCACCATCGGCTGCCTCCTGAATCTGCCCCCCATCCCCAAGGGACACCCTTGTCACTCATCCATGCAGTGTTAGACCTCAGGGTGCACGCCGCCTCCTCCTAGCCCTCTGCCCCAGGCACCGATGCTCCTGGCCGGGCACCCAGCACCATCCCCCTGGGAGCACTTCCGCCCCTGCCTGAATGCTGGAGCACCCAGTCCTGGGCCGTGGCACTTCTCCCATCACCTTCTGCCTCCCAGTGTCCAAAGCCCACCTGCTTCCCTCAATCATTACACCACCTCTCTGCTCAGCACATCTGCACCAAATGGTGAAGAGAATAAAATCACCATTCCCAGTTCCTTATTTACCCACTCCAAAAACCATTTGTTCCTCAGGGTCAGGTGGTTGAATAAATGGCCTCAACATCCACCCGGACAACAGGTTGTCACCTTGGTCCTGCCTCTAGGTTCTAGTCCAGGCAGGGTGCTATGAAGGGGTCCGCCAGGGCTCTGGTCCTCCTTGAGCTTAGCGAGACAGATTGTAAGCAATAAAACAAACAACCTGTAGAGCATCCAACAGTGAAGACTTTGGGAAGGAGACAGAGGCAGGGAGGCAGGCCACTGCGGAGGGGGCATCTGGACTGAGACCCGAGTGAAGGAAGAGACCCTCTAAGAAAACGCAGGAGGGGCAGAGAGGATTTAGGCAGAGGAAGGGTAAGTGCCCAGGCCCTGCGGCAGGACTAGGACCTTCAGGGATGTCTGGAGGAGTGATGAGAGGGCCTAGGAGTTGGGCTGACTGAGAAGCCCTGAGAAGGTTTCTTCTTTCTCTTGGCCTGCTGCCCCTGCTCCACGCTCTGCCCCAAGCCTGCCTGGATCCAGCAGGATCTCACTTCCAGAGCTGCAGGTGTGCAGTTGTGCAGTGTCTAAGGCTGGTTGCCAAGCTGGGTGCCGGTGGAGGGTTGCTTCTCTACACTTGCACGAGGTGACTGTGGGCTCCCAGCAGATCTGCTTTCCCCACCCTTGTGTCTGCATCTCCCCCTAGAGCTGCAAGCCTCAGGGCAGGCCCCCTCAGGTCCTTGACTGGGATAAACAAAGGGATGGACTAGAGGTCTGCCCACATGAAGGGGGAAGGGCAAACAGGGAATGCTTCTTGTAGGAGGTGACATTGTAGATGGACTTGGAGGGAGAACTAGGTTGTCTCTGAGTGGGGCCATAGGTTTCTGAATGGAGAGAGGCACATCTGAGGAGGGAATGAGGAAGGCCCCTTAGGGAAGCCTCACAATGCTTGGCCTGGAGATCCTCGGCCCCTCATCCTCCTCCTCCTCCAGCTGGCACTGAGGAACGCCCTGCGCTACTTCCCCCCGGATGTCCATGAGCTACTGGCCCCTGAGTTTGCCCAGGAGCTGCGACTATATGGGCATATCTACATGTACCGGTTCTGCCCTGATGTCAAAATAAGGTCAGTGCTGGTGGGTGCAGCATGGGGGGCCCACCCAGCAGGGGCCACGCTGGAGGTCAGTGACACCCAGACTGCCCACACCTGGAGGCCCACGGCTCTGGCTTGCTGAGTGGGCAGCCCTCACGCAGAGGGGGTGGTGGCTGTGATGTCACCCGAGGGGGTCTGCCTGGGGTCCCAGCCTGGTGGGAAGATGAGGGAATCCTGTTCGGACAGGTGTCTGGCCTTACCGTCCGGGGGAGCTGATTCTGAGCAATTCCAGGGCCAAATTATATACAAAATCACCTCCTGAGCTTCCTGTCTTGCCCTGTGGGAAGATGAGGAGAGCCTGAGGGGACAGCTCCATCAGGGCCTTCAAACAGCTTAGGTTCCCCCTCAGGGGTCTCAGGCTGAACAGTACGTGGTGCTGGAGGCCCTGTCAAACCGTGGATGGCTGGGCCTCACCCCACATCATGGATTCCGCAGCCTGGGTGGTGCAGGCAGGAGGGTGTGCCTTTCTCATAGCTCCTGGGCCCCGCTGCCCCCATCTGGGGGGCACACCCAAGCACAGTTGTTCTTGAATGTGCCCAAGGCCCACACCTGTCTGGAACCACCCCAGAGAAGGTCATCTCCCCATAAAGTAGGAACTGCGTCCCCTTGTTCCTATCAGGGCCTGTTGGCCTGGGCTCTGCTCTAGAATTGACAACCAGCAGTGCTGGTGGCATGAAGGGAGGGATGGATGAATAAACTCCACCTGGAGTAGAGGCTTCTGGAAAGCAGATGCCCACTTTGCTTCAAAGTCCATTTTCTCCCAGTTGGACCTGCCAAGTGGGGAGGAAGGGCGGCCCAGGTGGGTAGGGACCTAATTCCCCATCCCTGAAAGGGCAGGGGTACAAAGCACAACATGAGCACCAGAGTGGGTTGGCCTCGCTGGTTTGGAACCCCTTCTGCTGGCAACACCAGGTGACTTCGGCAGGATGCCAGGTCTTGCTGTCCACACCTGCATGGCCAGGGTGGGCCTGAGCATTAGCAGGCAGGGAGCTTGGTGCCCTCCTGTCGTCACACCTGGTGGCTGGTCTCCCCTTGCAGGGCCTACCCAATCGAGCAGTACCCCTGCCAGACAAGAGCCGCTGCAGCCATCATGCACATGATTATGAACAACCTGGATCCTGCCGTGGCCCAGGTAACACCTGGGGGACCCTGAGGCCTGGGAGCCAGCCCTGCCCAATAGAAATGTAACTCAAGACATGTGTGTAATGCTTTTAAGCTTTTTTTAAAAAATTTTTTATTTGTTTATTTATTTGAGAGAGAGACAGACAAGACAGTGCACAAGCAGGGGCAGTGGCAGAGGGAGGGGGAGAAGCAGACGCCTCACTGAGCAGGGAGCCCAATGTGGGACTCGATCCCGGGACCCTGGGGTCATGACCTGAGCCGAAGGCAGACGTTTAACAGACTGAGCCATCCAGGTACCCCTGCTTTTAAGCTTTTTCTTTAGAAATAATGATAGAGGGATCCCTGGGTGGCGCAGAGGTTTGGCGCCTGCCTTTGGCCCAGGGCGCAATCCCGGAGACCCAGGATCGAATCCCACGTCAGGCTCCCGGTGCGTGGAGCCTGCTTCTCCCTCTGCCTGTGTCTCTTTCTCTCTCTGTGACTATCATAAATTAAAAAAAAATGTTTAGAAATAATGATAGATTCATAGGAAGTTGTAAAGATATAATGCAGAGGGGAACACAGAGCCTGTGCCCAGCTTCCCCCAGTGGCTATATCTTCTGTAACTGCAGCACAGCATCAATGCCAGGGTATCACCACTGATATAATGGACACACATGCCATTCTAATTTTTTTAAAAGCTACATGAAAAAGTAAAAAACGAAACAGGTTTACTACTGTATTTTGCTTATCCCAATGTATCAGAAATATTATCATTTGAACAAGTAATATAAAAATTCTTGGGATCTTTTGCAACCTCTTTTCCTACTAAGTCTTTGAAGCCAGGGCGTATTTTACATTCAGAGCATGTCAGATGAGCTATGGTTCAAGTGCTCAATGGCCACACATGGATGACGCAAGTCTGGCCACATGTGCACAGGGTGTCCTTGGGAGCCGGTCTGTACATCAGATACCCATAGTTGAGAAAGGATAGCCTTTGCAGGGGTGAGTCTCCAACTATTAAACTTGAGGGCAATATGGTCCTAGAATTTGAATATTCTACCTTGAGGTGTGAGCTTCCTCTGCCCTGGGCTTGGCCTCAGAAACTGGTCACAGACAGATGCTTCACACTGACCCCAGGCTGAGTTTTCAGGGGGATCCCAGATCAAGTTCTGACCCTCACATCACACTGAGCTCTTACCCAGTCACAGGTGGGCCTGCCTCGCCCTTTCTGCCTTCTCCCCCTGCCCTTACCACTCCTTCAAGGGCATCAGCCACTTGGCCCTATTAAGCGCAGCACAGAGGTGGGGGCCCTCCCTTCCTAGGCACCCATCTCAGATAACACCATGTCTTCTCCAGTTTCCACAGGAGCTCGTGACCTATGGAGGAAATGGTCAGGTGTTCAGCAACTGGGCTCAGGTACGCTACCCTGTATGGCCTCCCCCCCCCCACCCCTGACCCCACCACATCTTTTGGTCTGGGAGGAGCTTTCAGCCCAGGGCTCAGGACTCAGGTCTCAGCCTCCCTGCTGCCTGAGATGCCAACACTGGAGATATGGTGTATACTGAAGGTCCTAAGGTCATGAGTGGCATGATCGAAGGCACCAGGAGCCACTGGAGAGTAACGAAGGCCAGGAGGGACGGGGCACTGGCAGGACTGCTGGCACTGTGGGAGCTCTCTGGGCCTGGGTGGTGAGATGGGGCTCGGCGTGGGGCGCCCCCTTACAGAGCCCTCCACTCTTTGCTCTTCCCTGCAGTTCTGGCTTGTGATGTCCTACTTGTCGCAGATGACAGAGGAGCAGACCCTGGTCATGTATAGTGGACACCCACTGGGCCTCTTCCCGAGCAGCCCCGGGGCCCCCAGGCTGGTCATCACCAATGGGATGGTGGGTCCTGGGGCAGCCAGGCATAGTGCCTGCCTGGGGGCTGTGGGAGAGCCAGGTGCCCCCAACACCTGCCCCCACACTGTTTCCTTTGTGCAGCCCCCAACCCTTGGCTCCCATTCCTCTTTTCCAGGTGATTCCCAACTACTCCTCCAGAGCCGAGTATGAGAAGCTCTTTGCCATGGGAGTTACAATGTAAGTCCCATTTCACTATTTCGGTTTACATCACTCTTTCCCACCCTGTGTGCTATATTATAAAACAATGTAACAATATTAAAAACAATTTGAAACACATTCACAGTGGCAACACCAAAGCACAAGTTTAAGTTTCCATATTCCCTAGGAGTTCTTAGGGATGTGCATACTGGGATTCCTATACACTTGTAAGCAAGTGAACAGTTGGATCCTGCTTTTGGCCAACGTGTTGTTATGTTATGAACAATTTCAAGTAGACAAAACATGGAAAGAATTAACAGTGCACACTGAGATGCGTGTTTAACACACTACCAAACTCTTTGTCCCATGTCTATCTGTCCCTCTATCCATCCATCTATCCAGCTTGATTTTTTGATGCATCTCAAAGTAAGTTGTACACAAGGTGGCCTGGAATTCAATATTTGTTTATGGGTTTTTTTCCTCCTGAAGTGCAATTTACACGAAATGCACACGTCCTAGTGCACCATTCGGAGTCTGACAAATGTGTGCACCTTGCCACCCAAAGCCCCAGATACGAGCACAACCATTTCATTTGTCATAAAATTGATGCATGCTCTAAACTGTGAACTTTTCCCTCAAACACTATAAAAAGAGCTACAGCGGGAAGGAACTCCCTCTCACACCCTATACTCCCCAATTCAGTGTCTGTGTCTTTCCAAACGTTTCTTTAAAAAATTATTTATTTATTTATTTGAGAGAGACAGAGAACAGGGGGAGGGGCAGAGGGAGAGGGAGAAGCAGATCCCACACTGAGCAGGGGGCAGCACAACACGGGGCTCCATCCCACGACCCTGAGACCATGACCTGAGCTGAAGGCAGACGCTCAACCACTGAGCCACCAGGCGCCCCCTTCCTTAGTTTCTAAAAGACAGAATTGGCAGGAGCTTTTAGGCATTTCCTGAGTTCAGTAGTCAGTTCTGCCTTCAGGGGGCTCCGGGATCTCGCCAGTGGCCCCGTGGGATCAGGTCGTACTGGGAGCCAATTAGCCAGCCCTCAGGCTAACACTTGCTAGTATACTCGTCATAACAGTCACTGCCACGTGTTCTGAAATTTATAGATACCTTCACATTTGCTATTCCGCACAAGCCTCTGAACCAGGCACCTTCAAAGCCCATTTTGTGGAGAGAGAAACTGAGGCTCGGAAACCCAATTATTTTTCTGGTTGGTCATAAGTAGTTAGTGTTACTATTATTTATTTTGAAGCCCAACGACCTCCTCTGTTCCAGTGGGAGCAGCGAAGGGGTCAGAGGGGCAGGATGTACGTCCTGGATCCACTGCCTCCTGAGGGTGACGCTGGGCAAGTTGGTGTGCTTCTGTTTTGTGGATTCAGGATGGAAGTTCAAAGATACTAGAACTGCGGAGTCAGACCTCGTCTGGCACACTTGAGGGCTGACCAGGTGCTGTGGGCAATTGGCTATGTGTGGGTGCAAGTCGCCACCGAAGTGGGAACAGGTTTGCCGTGTACGGAATCTGAGACCCTCTAACTACAGCAAAGCCTTTCCACTGTCAGGCCGACAGATGCAAAGCTGCATCAGGGAGGATGTGGGAAAAGAGGCACAGACTGTGGGTGGGTCGGGTCCGTACAGCAAGGCGGGGGGGGGGGCCAGGAGGCCTCCGTCTAGGTACTGGGGTTGACATTCCAAGTGCGGTAAACGTGATCCCACAATTTTACCTCCCAGAGTTACTTTGGGAGCTGTGTGCAGTGGATGACTGTAGCACAAATGACCAAATCAGAGGATTTAAAATCAGTTCCCAGCTCTGCCGCGAACCCCTGTATAGCCTTGGAACTTGGATCCTATCTGTAAAGAGGGGATTTGACAGCTCCTGCCTCAGAGAGTGGCATGAGGATTCAGGAAACACAAGAGGGGACACCCTTTTCCATGTGGCGCAAAGGGAGCCCTGGAGCGTACTGCTGGAGGCTCCCACTAGCGAGCACCACTGGGGTGGAGGTTAGCGGGCCCATGCAGCTTGGGGGTGGTTATGATGGTTTCACCCGTCTCCCTGGGTGGATATTTATTATAGTAGCATGATTTTTTTATGTTGTTGAATAGTCGTGCAACCTTCCGAGGTAAGGATAATGCCTCCCCCTTTTTTGGAAGAAGATGCAGAATTTCCACGTGATCTGGCACCTTTTCCAAATTATGGGATGGACTGGGCATTCTGACACAAATCTGCAAGAATCAGGATCCACCGTTGATCCAGGAGAGAGGAGGGCCTGGGGGGACTTGCTGGGAGACAGGAATCTGAGAGAAGAGAGATGGGGAGTCGAAACTGATGAAGGGGAAAAGCAAGCATCAGGAAGCCTGGGAGCAGCTCTGATCCTCAGCGGTCATCAGGGAAAAGTAAGACTCAGGCAACAGAAAAATGACCCTTCCCCCATCACATTGCCAAAAAATTAAAGTGTTTGATAATTATCAAGTGAGGGGATGTTCATGCATTGCTGGTGACAGTCACTTTGGAATTTGAGAGTATCTATTACTATTTTCAATGTTTGCACCAGATGACCCAGCACCATCCCTTCCTTGTTTCTTCCCTGGGCCCGGGGAGACGGATAGGGGGCAGCTCTCTGCGGAGTTGTTCATGTCGTGCCATTGGAGGGGAACATTCTGTGGCCTCTGACGTGTACTGTGGAGCATGACTAGGAATGAGCAGGGTCTGCATGTGCTTTGTGGAAAGGACCCGCACAGCCAGTGTGCCCCGCCGCCCATCACGATGAGGCTGTTGATGTAAATTACCCTAATACTGGTGATAACAGTAACCTCGCGTGCAAACTGTGCTCTCAATGCTGGGCACCAAAGTCGGCCTCAGTGTGGCACAGCGCACAACCTGACGTGTGCGGCTCACTGGATTCTGATACATGTGTGTGCTGTGCCAGCCACTCTCTGAAGACACCACCGCTGTGACCTCTAGCTGTGGGCCCACCTTCCAGCAGGTGGACCGCCCAGTGGAAGGCCACTGAATATTGTGCAAATGAAATCCCACAGAACGTACTCTTTCACATCTGGCTTCCTCACTGAGTCACTTGACACACTGGAAGACTTTGTCTTTTTCTTTGCCATGTAGCATTTCTTCATATTCATACATTGCACTTAGTTTCTGTGTCCTCCAAGATGGGCATTCTGGCTGTTTCAGGGTTTGGCCCCTGCAAATAAAGTTGTGGTGACTGATGGTGTGCATGTCTTTATGTGGCCATAGGCATGGAAAGTGGAAGTGCTGGGTCACGCTCAGCCTTTGTCGATATGGCCAAATATTCCCCAAAGTTGATTGTACCAATTATATTACAGCTTTGATAAAACAAAACCTGTTTATAAAAGATCCAGGAGGCCAGAGGGGACCAGATTTGGGAGGGGGGTGGCTGTGGCTTTATCTAGGCTTACTTTTTTTTTTTTAAGGAAAATGTATTAATGCATTTTGGGGTAATTAAAAAGGAATTTTAAAGCATGTATAGTGGAAGCTGTGCCTGGCGCTGGGCTCACCCCTGGGCTTGCCTTCTCTGTGGTCAGGTACGGCCAGATGACAGCAGGCAGCTACTGCTACATTGGTCCCCAGGGAATCGTCCACGGCACAGTGGTGAGAAACAGAGCCATGCCTGGCTGCTGGGGGCGTGGGAGGTTGGTGTGCAGGAGTGGAAGGAAACACCTGCTTCTTCTCCTGGCAGCTCACCTTGTTGAATGCCGGCAGACGGTACCTGGGTGTCAAGGATCTCACTGGGAAGGTCTTCGTCACCTCTGGGCTGGGCGGAATGAGTGGTGCTCAGGCCAAAGCCGCGGTCATCGTGGGGTGCATCGGTGTGATAGCAGAGGTGAGCCAGCAGGCCCTCCACCCCTGTCCGCATGCCTCCTCCCTCAATCTAGAGCCACTCCCACTCATGGCATCTCGTCCCTCACCATCCCAAAGCCTCCCAGATGGATTCCCAATGTGGTGCATGTGCGCTGTCTTCAAAGTGGCCATCACCTTCCATGGTCAACATCTGCATATGCTCTCCATGAACCTGACCTTCTTCTTCTTTTGTTTTTTAAATATTCTATTTATTTATTCATGAGAGACACAGAGAGAGAGAGAGAGGAAGAGACACGGGCAGAGGGAGAAGCAGGGTCCCTGAGGGGAGACTGATGCAGGACTCAATCCTGGGTCTCCAGGATCACACCCTGAGCCAAAGGCAGACGCTCAACCACTGAGCCACCCAGGTGTCCCTGAACCTGACCTTCTGTGGGCACTGCTTCCCTTTATCCCACCGAGTCCATGGAGTACAGCTGGGGGATAATAAATATGGATAAATGAACATGGACTTCCCCAACCTAGATGGGTCACCGGCAGATGGGGGAAGCAGACATCAGTAGAGGTGTGTGCAGGAGGCTTTTGCTCAATGGTTCTCATGGCTTTCTTTGGGAATGCCAAGGAAAGGAAGGCAGGAAAGAAGAGGAGGTGAGGAGCTTTAAGACAAGTCTGGGTTGGGATGGAGGATACCTTCTCATGGGAGGTGTATCACCTGCTTTCAGGGGGACAGGGGATGGCCCAAGTGTCCTTGCATAGGTGTCTCTTAAAGTAATTTGTATTTAAAATAATCATATGCCATAGTGGCACATTTTGGTGGGTCTTCCCTTGGCCTCTACATGGAAAATAAATTATAGCAACTAATGTGAGCTTTCACAGAGCACATCCTCTGGAACCTGCAGGAAAACAGCCTGTTTTCAGAAAGCCTTGACTTCCCCTTGCCCCATCCTCAACCCTCATCCTTATCCACTTTCCCCTGTATCTTCAAAAAGTGTTTGCCACAAAGAGAACCCTCAGCAACTATTTGTAATAAAATTCCCAAATAGTAAATAAGCAATCGAGAGAGAGAGAGAGAGAGAGAGAGAGAGAGGAGTTTTGGTGATACACACTTTGTGATTTACACTTAGGTGATACTAAGCCTATTTCACACATTCTTGTACTGCTTAGGAGCCCACTTGGAGGGGTGCCTGGGTGGCTCAGTGGTTGAGCGTCTGCCTTCAGCCCAGGGCTGGATCCCAGGGTCCTGGGATCGAGTCCCACATCGGGCTCCCTGCAGGAAGCCTGTGTCTCCCTCTGCCTGTGTCTCTGCCTCTCTGTGTGTCTCTCATGAATAAATAAATAAAATCTTTAAAAAAAGGAGTCCCCTTGGCTGCATGTAATGGAAAATCAAACTACAGCAGCTTCCACAAATCGGGTTTTATTTTTCTCACACAGCCAACAAGCAGTGCTGGCATTGGTTCAGCAGCTCAGTGATGTCAGGGCCAGCATCTGTAGATTGTCTTGGGTTTCCCTCACGGAAACAAAATGATTGCCCAGCCGTCCCATCTCCATTTAAGGCAGGAACAAGGGAGAAGGGAAGTGCCACCTATGACTGACTCTCTTTCAGCAGGAAAATAACAACATAAGAAACCCCTTCTGTTACCCCATTGGTCAGTATTGGATAAAATGGAAGTTCTTGTCCAAAAGGGAGGCTGGAGACAGTGGAAGGATTAGCTGTGGTTTGCTTGGACTGGGGCTGAGCACAATGTCACCCCAAAAATTCACATTCTGTGGGTAAGGATGACAGGAGGGGGAATAGATACTGGAAAGCAGCTCACAGCGTCTGCTCTGACACTGCGTTATGAAAGTGGGTGACCTACATGGGAGATGGCTTCTTCCCAGTGGAGGCTGACCCACCCGGTAAGGGCGGCCCCGTGTCTCATGGTCCCAGGTGGACAAAGCCGCCCTCATGAAACGCCACGAGCAAGGATGGCTGATGGAAGTAACGGACAGCTTGGACCACTGCATTGAGAGACTCAGGTATGGCGCAGGTAAAGTGGGGAGACCACAAACAGGGGCCTGGAGGCTGGGCTGACTTATGTGGACCTGTGAACCGCCTGACGCTTGGCCATAGGTGGTATCTCCCTGAGTGACCCCGCAAGGGGCATGCAGTACCGACATCGCAGGACCCAAAGTGGGGCTTGAACCACAACCCCAAGATCAAGAGTTTCAGGCTCTCCTGACCCAACCAGCCAGGCGCCCCTTCTAATTCTGTTAGGGTTTCTCGCTGGTGTGCAGGAAGCCCCGGAGTTCCCACCCCTGGTTCCCTGGTGTGCAGGAAGCCCCGGAGTTCCCACACTTGCTGCTAAATGGTTTTCTGGATATTCAGCCACAGTTTTGCAAAGATGGTGCCCTGTATTTCTCACTGTTGTGGCCTCAGCCCAGAGCCTGGTACATAGTAGGTGCTCACCTAATCTGTCGGTGAGGGGGAGGTGAACCTTTGAAAGATGGAATTGTTCCTCAGGGAGGCTCTGGGCTGGGGATAAGCTGATGTGCCTCCCCATTCACACTCTGGTTGTCGTGGTGCGGGGGGTGGAGACTGGCAACATCTTCCTCTGGTTTGATGTCTTCCAGAGGTATTTTAGTGGGAATGGGGGCAGGACTGCTCTGGGGGCTGCTGATCCAATGCTGCTTTGTTTGTTTGTTTGTTTGTTTGTTTTAGAGAGGGGAGGGTGCAGGCACGTGCAGACACACACACACACACACACACACACACACACACACACACACACACGACAGGGGACAGGGTCAGGAGGCGCAGAGGGAGACCAAATCCTAGGCAGACTCCGTGCTGAGCACAGAGCCCACACCAGGGCTCAATCTCATGACCCTGAGATCACAACCCAAGCCAAAATCAAGAGTCGGGCCCTTAACCGACTGAACCCCCAGGTGCCCCGTAACCATCTTTGGTGATGTCTACAACTTTAGGGTCACCTTGCAGGAGTTCCAGAAGGATCCCAATCAGAGCACTAACAGCAACAGCACAGACTCTGTGCATCCCCATAGAAGGCTTGTCACTATTGTCATCTCGGTTTTCTCCTCTGGGGCATTCTGCTCTGCTGTTCTCCTTACAGTTCTGGGTCCTCAAAGGACATGCCTCAGGGGTCCCTAAACATCAGGCCCAATGCTGACACACAGAACTTTCGGTGACCTCCAGGGTCTCCTGCATTCTTGCCAGCTTGGTGTTGGTGGGGGTGGATAGCTGTGGGCAGGTGCGACGGGCCATCTGCTCTGCTCTGTGCCCTTCTAGAGAAGCAAGAAAAAGGAAGGAGGTGCTCAGCCTTGGTTACCATGGCAATGTGGTGGATCTTTGGTAAGTGTGGGATGGGAGTTGGCAGCCTTGGGGACATTGGGTGAACCTCCCCCTCCAGATAAGTTACCCATGGTGGCCATGTGCTCCCTGGACACAAAGCTGCCAATGTGCTGTGCGTAATGCTCCACTCCCGGATCCTGGCCTGAGCTCACAGCAGCCTTCCTGCAGATGTTCTCTTGAGAGAGGAGGGCAATCCCCTCCTGTCTGGTCCATGAACTCAGGCCCTACAGGTCCCTACCCCTTCTCCAGGCCAGTGCCGCCCTGCATCAGTCACCCCTCATCTTTCCCAGGGAGCGCCTAGTCCACGAATTGGACACCACGGGGGAGCTCTTGGTGGACCTTGGATCGGACCAGACATCCTGCCACAACCCATTCAATGGTGGTTACTACCCTGTACAGCTGGGCTTCACAGAGGCCCAGAGCCTCATGGCCTCCGACCCTGCTGCATTCAAACACCTAGTCCAGGAAAGGTGATGAGGTCCCAGGGCTACTCTGGGGGTGAGGAGGTGGGGCGGGCACACAGCGGGCAGGAGCTTTAGGACTGGGTGGCTCTGACCTCTGTCGGGTTCTCCTGGCCCAACTGTGTAGCCTTACTCTCCCCTGTCTGATGGGATGGAAAGCTGGCTGAGCTCCATGGGGTGTGGTTGGGGGGGTGACAGTGGTGAGCACAGGGGGCCTCCTCTCAGAACCTCACGGGTGGGCAGCGCTGATCACTGACTGCCGGCCTCTTGCAGCCTGAGGAGGCAAGTCTCAGCCATCAACAGACTGGCCAAGGAGAACTTCTTCTTTTGGGACTATGGCAATGCCTTCCTCTTGGAAGCCCAAAGAGCAGGTGAGACACGACAAAGGTGCGGTGACAGGGTGCCGGCCTCCCCAGGCTGGGATGGGGCAAGACCCTGGCACTAGGCATGATCCCTTCTTGGCCAGCAAGAGTGCCCTGGCCGGTGCCAGGGGAACGTGGGAGCCACAGCATGCAGGATCCACCGTGCCCTGCCCAGGCCCTCCGAAAGCTGGTCCTGCCAGGTCCTTGGCCTCTGGGCCTCAGCTGTGCCATTTGCCGTCAGAACATCAGGTACCACAAAGAGAGTTGGTATGATGCTTGAATAGAAGCTTCAGCTGGAAAGAAAAATATAGTTTAACTTTTCTGTGAAGTAAACTTTTCTTTTTTAAAATTTAAATTCCATTAATTAACATATAGGGTATTATTAGTTTCAGAGGTAGAGGTCAGTGATTCATCAGTCTTCTGTAAAGCCAGGGTTCATTACATCGAGTGCCCTCCTTAATGTCTGAAGGAAACTTTTCTGTGAAACAGGTAGCTCATGCTAGAGGGTAACGTTCAAAACGTACAAAACACACAGTGGGAAGTCGCCCTCCCAGCCCCGACCCTGGCACCAGGTCCCCCCTGGAGTTGGAAGGTTCTGGTGTGCCAGATGGAGCACAGGTGGGCCAGGCATCTGGGGGTAGTGTGGATATGGATACGTCCCCACAGGGCCCCACACCAAGGGCAGCACTCACTGACTCCCTTCTTTTTTTTTAATTGGAGTTGATTTGCCAACATATAGCATGTCATCCAGTGCTCATCCCTTCTTTTGTGTGAAGACAAACAGCCCTAGTGAGGCTTCCCTATCAAAACAGAGCACTTCCATAGTCTTTCCCTGGCCTCTGTTGAAACTGCCGTCTCAAGAGGGGCATGAGTCCCCGCCTCGGGTGGGGTTGCCAGCCCTCAGACCCTCAGGCTGACTCTGTGCTGCGGGTGCTCTGACCACAGGAGCTGACGTGGAGAAGAAAGGCACCAACAAGACAGGATTCCGCTACCCCTCCTACGTGCAGCACATCATGGGGTAAGTGATGCGGTGCTGGGCACTCGAGCTGGGGGAGTCCTCGATAGGGAGCCACGGGAGGGAACCAGGGAGACCAGGCTGGGGTGGAGGCCTCAGGGTCAAGCCAAGAAGTTTGGGCTGAAGCAACACAGGGTGAGGGGATGGGAGGCCTCACAATGCTCCTGGAAGTTTGCCAGCCCATCTGTGTACCTGATGGGACCAGGGAGGGAGGCAGGGGGCATGGGGAGGAGCAAGTCAGCTGTGTCCTTGGTTCACCTCAGGTGAGGAGGTGGAGGCTCAGGGGGCTACCGGGCAAGGGGTCCCCCCACCCCCCGCACCGGGGGCTGGTGAAGGCAGGACCTGAGGCCACCCAGGAGCATCATTTCACCCAAGGCAAACCTGGCCAAGTCCCCACATTGTCTGTTTCTCCCAACTACTTTGTTTTAGTTCACAGACTTTCAGGTTGTCTGTGTGACAGCACTAAAAGAGAAAGTGTGCCTGTGTCCCTGCCCCCTGTTCCCACGGAAAGAGGGGGTGTAGATCTAAAAGGGAGGACAGAGGGGGTGTAGATCTAAAAGGGAGGACGAGGACCAGAGGGATGGGGAAACACTGAGGGGAGGGAGGGGGCTGCGGGGGAGGGGAGGAGGGGGAAGAGAGGAGAAGGAAGGGAGAGGGTGCTGGGGGGGAGGAGAGGAGGAGGGGGAGGGGCTGTGGGGGAGAGGAGAAGGAAAGAGGCAGAGGTGGAGAGGGGAAGGAGGGGGCTTGTGGGGGAGAGGAGGAGGAGGGAGGGGCTTCCGGGGGGGGGGCGTGAGAACTGGGCGGTGGCCTCTGCACCTCCTGTCCAGGTGGTGGCTCAGGGGCCACAGCCTGGACTCTGGATCCGACACTCTGTTCACTGTTGGTGCCCATAGGCCAGACGCCCCCGCACCCCCCGCAGCACACGACCTACAGGTTCTGGAGCATCTGTAGGCTTCCCCCCTCAGTTCGGGGTGACCCAGGTCCAGCCAGTGGGTGCGGCCAGGCTAGGAGGCCCGAGGCATGCGTCACTTTGTCCTTGCAGGGACATATTCTCCCTGGGATTTGGGCCTTTCCGCTGGGTCTGCACATCAGGGGACCCCCAGGACCTGGCAGTGACAGACCAGCTGGCCGCGTCTGTGCTGGAGGGGGCGGTCGCCGATGGAGGTGAGGCCGCGGGACGGAGGGTGGGGGCGGGTCTCAGGGCCTGGGTCAGAGCTCCTGCAGTGGCTGGGGCTTCTCCGTTGAGGCAGCTCGGCTCTGCTTCCCACAGGAGACCTGCACCCCGTGGTTCACCTCCCGCCCTTCCTGGGGGGACATGACCTGTCAGTTATCTCTGCCTTTGTCATGGAGCCGAGGCAGCAAGAACCGCTGTCCTAGTTCTGACTCCCACTTCTCCGAAGCTTTTCCGGGTCCTGGGCACTTTGTCTCCACATCTCTGTGCAGGTCCTTCGGCCTTGGCTGCTGGTTTTCAGTCCCCACGGGCCGTTCCCCATGTGCCCACATCCAGGCTAGGTGGCCTGGAGGGTCCTGTTCCCCGGATTCAGGGCTGGAAATCCAGGGGAAGGGGAGCAGGTACCTGTGTGGGAGGAGCCAGGCAGGGTGCACCTGCTGGTAGCCGCGGGGCATATGCTCTCAGGGCTGCTGATTTCCAGCGAGGCGGCTCCGAGGAGCAGCAGCAGAGCTTCCCCCAGGCAGGTAATCCCAAGAGCATAGAACCTCGTAAAAGATCGGAAAGTAATGATGCAGTGATGACTTACGAACATCGCCTTCATTTTTAATTTAAAAATTTAAAAAGTATGAGTTTGTTTAACTGAAATTTTAATGATGTGTGTGTCAATGACTATGTCACAAACTTCCTGAAGATTCAGGGCTGCTCTGGTGAGCTGGTGGGAGCAGCTCCAGAGCAACACAGCTACCACCTGACTCTGCACGCCCTCCACACTTCAGCCAACTGGCCTGTCTTACTGGGATAGGCCAACCTTCTTTCTGCCCCAGGGCTTTTGCTCTTGCCATTCCCTCCACCTAGAACACTGTTCCCGCAGATCTTTGTGTAGCTACTTCCTTCTTAGCATTTAGGATGTAGCTTGATCATTACCTCTGCAGGGAGGCCTTTGGTCCCCCTGACCTACCACCCTAGTGACTCCTTCACTACACTTTGAATTCCTTCATAGCCCATTGAAGTCTCTGTTCCAGTGCCCAGCACAGCAGCTGACATACAGTGAGGACTTAATAGATGTTTGAGGGATGGAGGTATCAGGCAGGGGGTTGCACACATCCGTGCATTAATTCGTGTGATGGTTTGCATCACTGGTTCTGGAAGTGAGACGGCCTGGGGTAGTTCTGGGGCTGGGGGCTTCCCGGCCCTGTGTCTGGGCTCCATGAGGATTGCAGAACAGGTGTCTGTGCTGAGCGGCTGCCAGAGGGAGGGCCTGGTTCTGAGCCCCACTGGATAGCAGCTCCCGATGCCTGGACACCCCCCGTTCTCCCTGCAGTGAACCCAGGCGTGAAGCTGCAGTATGCAGACAACATCCGCTGGATCCGGGAAGCCGCCAAGCACCGGCTGGTGAGGACTTGGCCTGGTGGGAAGCAGGGGCGGACCCTCAGCTACCCTCTCTGAGGTGGGGTGCCACTTGCCGTGCCCAGGCTGGTAGATGGGAGCCCCGAGATGGTGCCAGTGCACCTGTGAGACAGCTCCGGTGGCAGCCTCCTTGGCCTCCCAGGAAGCGGCAGCAGCATCTCACCCAGCAGGCCGCCAGACGAAGAAGCCCGGAGCCTTTCTAAAGGTGGCCTGGGGCCCTAGGGCACTGACCAGGGTCAGTTAGGGAGTCACTCACCCAGTTACCCCACAAATAGCTCTCTCAAGTCAGGGCTCCTGGCTTCTTGGCTGTGTGACCTGGGGCAAGTGGCTCAGCCTCTCTGAGCCTCCCGTCTCATCTGTGCAGTGGAGATACTGGAGATGGTGGACACCTGAGCTGTGGTGGCGCGCATGCTTGGAACAGGCCCTCTGGGACAGTCTGTGCACAGGGCATCGCTGGGGTCAGGGTCGAGTAGAGGGCACGCTGCTGCCTCATGTCTGGGGGTGCACTCTCAAGCACATAAACACGAATTGAGGCAGTGCCGGCTGGGGACTGCTTTCTACAGACCCGTCAGGAAGGTGTCACAGAGGAGCTGAGTTGTGAGTCTAGCTCCAGATGCTGGGGCGTCGGGGAGGGGCGGCCACGTGACCGTCAGGGGAGGCAGAGGACCAGCCAAAGCACAGGCTGCGAGGCGGCAGCCGGCTTGGTGTGCTGAGGACGAACGGAAAACGGGCAAGTGGCTCACAGGCCAGGCCTCGATGGCCAGACACTACCACCGTGTCCCTAGGGCCAGAGAGGGACCCCCTTGAGCACTGCCCCGGGTCCTGGGCTTCTGTCCCCAGTCCCACCCCACCGAACTCCTGGTTGGCCAGGGGTTTGCACCTGTGTTTCAGCCACGAAGCCCCCATGCAACAGAGGTCTCTGAGTGCTCAGAGTCTGAGACACCTGCCTTGAACTTGGGGATCTAGGCCATGGGGAGGATGGGGCTGGAGTGGAAACGTGTGGGGCCCAGCCAGAGGCAGCCTGGAGGGGAGAAGGACCAAGCCCTGAGGGAAGGGCACCCGCAGAGCAGGAAGGGACTGGCGGGAGGCGGGAGGCGGGGAGGACAGGGGTGTGGGGAGCCCTCTGGACGCCGCTCCAAGGATACCTGGGCCGTCTTTCCTGAGTTTAGCTGACGTCCTGTGGAGGTTGTATTCTCCCCACTTACCTCACGCTGCCCTTTGCCTCAGGAGCGATGGTGATGGCAGAGGGCTGCCCGTTATAGACATTCTAACTGGGCGCCTTGTAGGGTGTACTCGGCTGAGCTGGCCAGCCTGTGCCAGTTCCTCCTCAAGTTTCTTTTGTCTGGATCCAAGACGTCTGCAAGTCTCTGCAGTGCTGATTTATGCTATCATCCTTCCCACAGGGCTTGTGGCCACTGGTGTGGGAGCAAGGCCAGTAGTTAGCAAGCGTGAGGGCGGAGGAAGCAGCTCAGCCGGCCGCGCTGGCCGGCGCCAGGGCCCCGGCTGGGCTCTATTTTCAGGCCCATGGTCGGGGTGGGCTGGCTCCACCACCGGCTCCTGAACCTTACACTCTATTCTGGGATGAGTGGCCAGGCAGCTCAGGGAAACCCCTACATCCTCTTTGGAGAATCCAGGGTTTCTCAGCCTTGGTGCTCCTGACGTTTGGGGCCAAATCATTTCTTTTTTCAATTGTGGCAAAACGTACATTACCATAACGTTTTGCATTTTACCCATTTTTAAGGTACAACTCAGTGGCTTTAAGTACACTTACATTGCATGCACCCGTCACCACCATCTGTCTCCAGACGTTTTCACTTCCCCAAGCTGAAACTCTGTCCCCATGAAACATGACCTCCCTCCCCGCTCCCTCCCCCAGCTCCTGGCAGCCACCACTCCTCTAGGGACCTCAAGCAGAGGAATCATGCAGGACTTGTCCTTCTGTGACCGGCTTCTTTCACTGAGCATGATGGCCTCAAGGTTCATCCACTCTGTAGCCTGTGTCAGAATTCCCTTCCTTTTCTTTTTTTTCAAAAATTTTATTTGTTTATTCATGAGAATACACAGAGAGGAGAGAGAGAGAGAGAGAGAGAGAGAGAGAGAGAGAGAGAGAGGCAGAGACACAGGCAGAGGGAGAAGCAGGCTCCATGCAGGGAGCCCGACGTGGGACTCCATCCCGGGTCTCCAGGATCACGCCCTGGGCTGTAGGCAGCGCTAAACTACTGAGCCACAGGGGCTGCCCTCCCTTCCTTTCCAAGGCTGAGTAATATTCCACTGTCTGCATAGAACGTATCTCTTTTGCTTATCTGTTCATCCGTCAATGGACGCCTGGGGTGCTTCCACATTTTAGCTATTGTGAGTAATGCTGCTGTGAACCTGGGGGTGCAATACCTGTGCCAGGGCCTGGGGGCTGAATATGACCTTATCACGGGGGAATGTTGTGGGATGTTTGGCAGTACCACCTCCATGCTGGCAGCACTCAAACGTGTCTCCAGTTGTTGCCACATGTCATCCTGGTTGAGACCACTGTACCACACAAGGATTCCTGGGAGCGACCTGTCTTACCATCCTGAGGGGCTGCATCCTGGTGAGTGGGTCCACAGGTGCTCGGCTGTGCCACCTACCACCCATGTGGTCGTGGGCAGGTCACTCAGCCTCTGTGCCCCAGTTTTCTCATCCATAAAGTGGAACCCAGGATGAGAATTATTAGCACCTTCTTTATACATTCACTAATGGGTGAATGTGCAGAGTACTTGTAGCTGTGCCAGGCACAATCCAAATTTGCATTAATTATAAAAATAATATTATTTTTATTGGAAGGACTCAAGCAGGGATATGAGGTAACATCCCTAGAGTCAGGATCTTGGAGCCTCCTCCTGGGGTTAACCCTGGAGGCGCTGCATCTCAGAGGGATGTCTGGGGGCCCAGACTGCATGTGGACATGCAGGGAGTTGGCGTGGCAGCCTAGTGGACTGGACATGAGGGCCCACCTCAGGCCCGCAGACCATAGAGCTACCATACACCTTGGGGTCCTCCAGGACCTCCCTAGAGGGGCCCATCTGGCTGCTGGTGGACCTGTTACCCAAGTCTCCCATGGCATGTCCCTAGGCCATTGAGGTGCTTCTTCTCTACCTTTTCTCTGCAGGTGGTGGGGTCCCAGGCAAGGATATTGTACTCAGACCAAAAAGGCCGTGTGGCCATCGCTGTGGCCTTCAACCAAGCCATCGCTCGTGGGAAGATCAAGGTGACCAGTCCTGTGCTGCAGGCAGGAGGCCCCCTGTAGGCTCGCTCCTTCCCATCAGTGCTGGCACGGCCCTAAGGCCCCGTGCTCCTTGTTAGTGTCAGAGGAGGGGCAGGTAACTGGGGACCGGGAGTGATAAGGCCTATCCTCAAACCCAGCCTCTGGTATGTTCCCTGCTGTGTGATCTTGGACGAGTCAGATGCCCTCTCTGAGCCATCTTCTGTGACAAGAGAATAATATTAACCTCAAAGCCTAGGTATGAGGATCAAGCGAGTCATCAGTTCTTGAATTATCTTTTTTAAAAAATTATATTTTTATAAACCATGACAAACTTCCCTGGCTTTCTCCCACATTCCCCCCAGTCAGCTGGCCCACGTGGAGGACACTGAACTCTGGGCACACTGGTTTGGAGGGCACTCTTGCTTCTGTTCTGTAGGCCCATGCACAGAGTTCTTGCTGGTATCCCCGTGTTTGGGAGTGGCAGTGTTAATGATCAGATGTGAAAGGGAAATCAGGTTGAATGAACGTGAAGCCTGTCCTGGTGGCTGGTTCTGGTGGCAGCAAGGACAGCAGCCCCCAGCCCATCTCAGAGAGCACTGCCAGAGCACCCTGCTCCATGCACTCTGGAGGATGGGCAACCTGCCAGGACATCTCTCCAGGCACCCTCATATCCAGGTGCTAGGCCTAGTTGGCACAGAAATCCATTCATTCCACCTGCTTGATTGAGCACCTCCTCCATGCCAGGCTTGTCCTGAGGTACTGGGGACCAGTGGCAGAGAGCAAAATAGACAGGATCTGGGCTCATCTACTCACTAGGGAAGGGAAACTGATGATGCAGGACAAAGGCATAAATTCAGAGGGAAATGAGATGGTGATGAACATAACAAGAAACTGAATGTGGGTGATGGAGTGGGGTGCTGGCTTAGAGATGTCAAGGAGGGGTGACATGGTGGGGGCAAGTGGTGACTTTGGATGGGTAGGGGTGACAGGGTGGGGGTGAAGGGGTGGGAATGAGTGGTGACTTTAGATTGGGTAGGGTTGAGTGGTGACCTTAGATGAGGTGGTCAGAACAGACTTTCTGAGTTGCTGGTGAAGAACTGAGACCTGAATACCTGGAAGATGCTAGAATGCCTGGGGGTTGGCAGTTCAGAGCACATGTGAAGAGCAAACTTGGCCTGTTTGTTCAAGGAAAGAAGAGAGCCTCCCATTCAAAGCAAGGGGAGTTTCCCTTCTAGCAAGTCACCTCTTCCTGCACAGGGAGCCCGGTGGACCTGTCCTTAGCCATGGCCCCACTCAGCCTTCACCAGGGCTGTCTGTCTGCCCCTTTTCTTAGAGCGCAGACACAGGGGAAAGCCCAGACTCTAGCATACCGCATGCGGATCAGTCCCAGCCTGTCCACTCTCCAGCTCTAGGGCATTGGGCAAGTTTCTTCTCCTCACTGGACCTCACTTTCCTGTCCATGAAATAGGCAAACCTCTCTGGATAGAGTTGTTGAGACTGCCCAGGGCGCCAACGCAGGCATAGGGCACGGGTGGCCTTCACAGAGAAAGGACCCACCCCTGTGAGATCTGTTAGTAGGGATAGGAAGCCATCAGAAACACCTATGCTTCCTCTTGTTGAAGAAGGTCTGTTTCTAGGAAGAGGGACCCAAAGGGCTCCCAGTGTGTGCTGGGAAGCTATGGTGGACACCATTGCTGACATCTCATAACCTTCCCTGCTGCAGGCACCAGTGGTCCTGAGCCGAGACCACCATGACGTGAGTGGCACAGATAGCCCCTTTAGGGAGACCTCCAACATTTATGATGGCTCTGCCTTCTGTGCAGGTGAGGAAGACAAAAAAGTCTAACAAAATTTTGTTAATGTTGGATTTGATTTTGTTTAAAAATCAATAGACTCATTTATTCAGCCATAAGGCTCCAAAAAAAAAAATGTTCTGGCATCTGAGAGACTTGGCATTGGGTGACCAGCCCAGCACACAGGTGTTTCTGGGAACTGGGATTTCTGGTTTTAAACTGGGCTAGTGCCAGGCAAAATGGGACAGTTGGATGCCCTAGACTTGGGTGTGCACCTGATCCTGTCACTTGCCGGGCGGTCTTCAGCAAGGCATTTAAAGTCTGAGCCTCAATTTACCCATATGTAAAATGGAAATAATAGCACCTACTTCAGAGATAAAGAATGAAATGAATTAATATGTGTGCAGTTTTAGGTCAGGGTCCTGCAGGCAGCACTCAATGAAGATTATCTGCTACGGCTGCTGTTACTCTTCTGCTTCTAAACCCACTACAGTTATAACCATCAAAGAGGCTGCTGGATTCTAGTCCTGGCATAGCTTGCTCATTCCCAGCACTTGGGGCTCCTTCCATCATGGATGGGATCCCAAGGAAAAGAGGGGGACCCTCAGGAACCCCATCTGTATCATTTTTTCAAGGAGTTGATATATTTCATATAAGTTATCAAATTTATAGGTATAAAGTTGTATACCTTTATCTTTTTAATGTCTGTGGGGTCAGTTGTGATGTCTCCTCTGTCATTCCTGATATTGGTCATTTGTGTCTTCTTTCCTCTTGATCAGTCTGGCTAGAAATTTATCAACTGTATTGATCTTCCCCAGAAAGAAGTTTCTAGTCTCATTCATTTTTTTCTATTGCTTTTCTGCTTCCAAATTCATTGATTTCTGCTCTAATCTTCCTTCTACTGGCTTTGGGTTTAACTTGCTCTTCTTTCTCTGGCTTCATAAAACAGAAGCTGAGGTTACTGATTTGAAATCATTTTTTTTGACATAAGTATTTAATGCTCTGAATTTTTTTAGCTGCTTTAGCTGCATCCTGCAAATTTTTATATATTTTCATTTTCTTTCAGTTCAAAATATTTGTTAATTTCCCATAAGACTTCCTCTTGGATTTATTGGTTACTTGGAGGTATCTTTTTTAATCAATTAATTTAAACTTTTTTTTTTTTAGAAAAAGAGAGAGGTGTGTGAGGGGGGAGGGGCAGAGGGGTAGAGAGAGAAAGAGAGAGAGAGAGAGAATCTTACGCGGCTTCACTCTCAGCATGGAGCTCAAAACAGGGCTCAATCTCATTAACCTGAGATCATGACCTAAGCTGAAATCAAGAATAGGACATTTAACTGAGCCACCCAGCCACCCCTAGAAGTATCTTTTTAAATTTCTATGTTTCAGGAGATTTTTCAAATACTTTCTTACTGACTTCAGGTTTAATTCCATTATGGTCTGAGAACTTACTTTATATTTGTCTCTTCTTTTAAATTTGTTCAGGGTTGTTTTGTGGCCCAGAATATGGTCTATCTTGGTGCATTTGAGAAGAACATATGTTCTGCTGTTATTTGGTGGGTTCTACAGATATCAGTTAGGTCAGGTTGGTTGATGATGCTGTTCTGGTCATCTGGATCCTTACTGATTTTCTGCTTAATTATTCTGCAAATTACTGGGAGAGAGTGGTGAAATCTCCTGTGTTTGCAGATTTGTCTGTTTCTCCTTTTAGGAGTTACCTATCTTTGCTCCAAGTATTTTAAACCTCTGCTGTTAGGGGCGCCTGGGTGCCTCAGAGGTTGAGCATCTGCCTTTGGCTCAGGTCATGATCCCAGGGTCCTGGGATCGAGTCCTGCATTGGACTCCCCACAGGGAGCCTGCTTCCCCCTCTGCCTGTGTCTCTGCCTCTGTGTGTGTGTCTCTCTCATGAATAAATAAATAAAATCTTTAAAAATCAATCAATCAATCAATCCCTGCAGTTAGGTGCATGCTCATTTTGGTTTCTGATGTCTTCTTGGAGAACTGACATCTTTATCATTATGTAATGTTCCTCTCTGTCCCTAGTTATATTCCTTGCTCCAACTCCCTGATATTAATATAGTTTATATTCATATCTATGGCCACTGTAACAAGGTACTGCAAACTCAATGGCTTAAAACAACACAAATGTATTCTCTCACAGCTCTGAAGGTCAGAAGCCTAAAATCAGATTCAGTGAGGTAAAGCCAAGACATGGTCGGGTGTGACATCTCAGGAGGCCCGAGGGGAGAATGTTTCCTGGTCTTTATCAGGTTCTAGAGATGCATTTCTTCCATTTCACTGCCCAGCATAAGGAGGAGAGTGGTCGTAGGATTGTCTCTGATCTTCTCTGGGAGTACCTGCTTGGGTTTTTGGAGGAAGAGCTTGCTAGGACATGCACACCCCCTTTTATCTATGTCCCAGGGGCCTCAAGGTTTCAGGCAAGCTTATGCTTGTCCTTTAGCAATTTGTTAGACACACATGTAAGGTGACGAGCTTGGATTCTGTTTCCCTGTGCAAGGGCCTGTATCTCCCCAGATCATAATTACTTAGTTGCTGTGGAGCCTCAGTTCTCTGATGGGGTCAAGGACAGTCATTAATTTGTAGTTTGTCCTCCACCCTTATTGGTTTTGCTTTGTTTTAAAGGTCAAAGTGCCTCTCTTTGGCTCTCTGTATCCATGAGCTAAAATCAGTACCACCACCCCTTTAATTCTTCCATGCTTTCTGCTTCTGGAGCACTTTGGCATTCAGTGCCAGAGTGTAACTATACGGAAGGACTCAGGTACTTGTCACTCCTCCGGCTTTGCTTAGCTCTGCAAACATAAGCTATTGCTATTTTGAGAGTCTGTCCTTTGTTCCCTATCTGACCTTCAGGCCCCCAGCCCGCCTCATTCAGGGAGTGATGGGTGGTGGCCTCTGTTTCCACAGACATGGCTGTGCAGAACTTCGTCGGAGATGCCTTTCGAGGTGCCACCTGGGTCGCTCTTCATAATGGCGGGGGTGTCGGCTGGTAAGGTTTTTGGAGAACTGGGTGCTGTGGGTGCGGGCTGGTGTAGAGGTCTCGGGAATTCCCTCGTGATCCTGGGCCCTGCCTCCCCTGAGCTCCCTCTGCTAATGGCTTTGCTGTGATGTTCCTCGTGTGAGCTGGAAATCACAGGACATGGCCCAGCCACTCTACCTTTCAGGGCCTCACCTGTCACGTGGGACACAAAGGCTGTAAGAACCGTACCTATGCTTATCATATCAGTTTTCCCTTTGCTTTCACAGATGTTTTCCCAGGAATTCTCAGTGCCATCCTGGGCCAGGGCAGCTGGGCTGGGAGGCCGGAGACCTGGATTCTGGGCTCCCCTGGGGCCCTGGCTTACAGGTCTGCCCTGGCAGGCCTGTTTCTAGTCTGTGCCATGAAGAAATTGGGGTTTGTGGGAGGCTGATAGTTGCCATTCCAATGTGAAGGCAACTATCTGCTATAATTCTGCACCCCTAATTCTAACACGTGGGGGCCTTCCCACACCACCAGGCAATTCTCTGACACAGTCAACTCTATTCTTACACTATCTGCTCAGAGATGGCACCAGATGCCACAGGGTAAGGGCCTAGTCCCACAAGGATGACACCATTTCAGGTGCCAGTTGCAAGTCTAGGTTGTCACCTGTGCATCTGACCCACTGGCTACAAATCAATAGCTTCCCTGGAATCCATTAATTTGCTCAAGCAGCTCACAGAACTCAGGAAACCATACCCTCACTAGATTACCACTTTATTACAAAGGATAGCAAAGGGTACAAGTCAATAGCCTGATGAAGAGATACATAGGGAGAGACCCCAAACAAAGCATCCTCCATCCTTGCAGAGTTTGGGGCCTGGCACAGTGGCACGTGGAAGTGTTCTGGTTCCCCAACCTAGACCTTCTCCAAACGTGTCCTTTTAGGTATTCATGGAAGCTTCATTATTTAGGCATGACTGACTAGATTATTGACCCCTGGAATCAACCTCCAGCCCCTCTCCCTCCCTGGAGGCCTGGGAGTGGGACTGAGCATGCCAATCCTGTAATGATAAGGTTGGCTCTGCTGGAAACTAGCACCCACACCCCACTCCTCAGAGGCCCTCCGAGAGTCACCTCGTTAACATAACAAAGGATGCTTTCTTTCTTTCTTTCTTTCTTTCTTTCTTTCTTTCTTTCTTTCTATTTATTTTTACGAAGGACACTTTAACCGCTCTCAATGCTTACAAAATTCCAAGTGCTTTAGGAGCTCTGTGCCAGAAATGGGACGAAGACCACATATTTCTTATTCTAAATCACAATTATCACATCCACAAATAATAAATGACTAATATTTATCATATACAGGCGATGTGGCAAGCATTCGCTAAAATTTTTGAATCTACTCTCTCACCTAATCTTAGAAGAAAATACATTTTACAGATGAGGAAACTGAGGCACCAGGAGGTTAATGGGCTGCAGCCGACCCAGGCCTCGCCTCTCCTCAGACCTTGGGAAGCTGTCAGGTCTGGGCTCTCGCCAAGGTGGACTGCTAGCTGTGGGGGCAGCAGGGGGTGCTGTGGCTCTGGGGAGGAGGGCAGCTCCTGGCAGGCTCGGAACTGACCTCTGAGCCCGTTCTGGCCAGCGGAGCCGGCCTTGCCCTCCAGGGCCAAGTCCCCAGCACTGGAGCTTCCCAGAGCATTGTGATGGGCGGGCTTCGAGGCCAGAATTCCGAGCTGTAGCCCAGTCAGGCGGCTCTAATGAATGGAAAGTGTGACGGCAGTGCAGGTTCTTTCCGATATGTGGGCTGGAGAAAACAGGACGGAGAGTGCCTGGTTGTGGGGTACCTGACATTTCGTCACTGGATTTGCTGAATTGGTGCTGGAGGTGAAGAGGATGAGGTTGGGTCACATGCCCAAGGCCACAGCTGGTGGCAGAGCTAGGATCTGAACCCAGATCTGTCATCCCCCAGGAGTCACCTGTCATTGCCCACAGAGCCACAGAGGGCTGGAGGGGTGAGAGCAGAGCTGGCCTCAGAAAGCATCAGTGACATGAGGGCCTTGGGGCAGGACCCCCTGAATAAGGTGCTCCCAAGAGATGGAATGCTCCCCACCAATTCCCAAGTTGCTCCCACCCCCTGGTTCTCCCCAGGGTCTGCAGACAGGACTGTGGGAGGGCCACATGCTGGTGCCAACACCTGGATCCTGGCTGTCCCTGGGGGCTCTTTCAGAAAGTGCCTCAAATTCACCTTGGACTCCATCATGCTCACACACCCACATAATTTAATCCGTCCGATACTCCTGCAAGTCTGACTGCGAAATCAGCAGGGGAAAAAAATTTCAGCCTCAACTGTTCCGGCTCCGGGAGGAAATATCTTTCAACTTGTCAGCTAATTTTTTTTCTTTGTTCTATACAAATCCATTTCTAAGTTATGAGCTCTGTCTGCTATTTCTTGGTTTGTATTTATTGAGAGAGAGAGCAGGACCAGGGGAAAGAGAGACACATTCCTTGCTGAGCAGGGAGCCAGATACAGGACTTGATCCCAGGACCCTGAGATCATGACCTGAGCTGAAGGCAGTCGCTTACCAGACTGAGCTACCCAGGTGCCCTTGCTCTCAGTTTTTACATCTATTGTCTCCCTGTTTTAGAGCGCTTACGTTTCCAAGACAGTCCGCATCGGGTGTGTGCTATCTTCCTCTTCCTCTGTCTTCTTGGAGCCCCTCTTTCTGGTTGCTTGCTTTTTTTTTTTTTAATTGGAGTTCAATTTGCCAACATTTAGCATAACACCCAGTGCTCATCCCACCAAGTGTCCCACTCAGTGCCCATCACCCAGTCACCCCAAACCCCCGTCCACCTCCCCTTCCACTATCCCTTGTTCATTTCCCAGAGTTAGGTGTCTCTCATGTTTTGTCACCCTCACTGATATTTTCACTCATTGGTTGCTTGCTTGAAGTCTATCCTCATGCTGTCTGTCCAGTGGTCCTTGCTGTCTGCTTGTATTTAGAGAGGGCGCCCACACACAGTGTGTGCATGCACCTTTGGGCCATGGGCTGCAGAGCAGGAGAGGTCAGTGGTCAGTCTGGTTTTAGGCTGGCTGGTCTGCTCAGTAAACGCAGTTCCTGCCTCCTGTCCTTGTAGAGAGGGTGTGGCCAATTCTGTGAGCTATTGGAAGGGACAGGGCTTCACTGTTGGGTGTTGAGACTTCTCAGTCCATGTTTTCATGGTCCCTCTGTTACCCTCAGATGTTCCTTGTGACCTCACAGCAAGATACAGCCTAGGGAGTCCACATCTTTGAGGAATAAATACATATATTTGGTCTGCCATCCTTATCCTGATACCAACATTTTGTCCTCACTAAGCGATGTCTTAGAGAGCATCCCAAACTTGCATGTGCATAGGAACCCCTTGGAGAGCTTGTTAAAATGTAGAGTGTGACTGGTAGGTCTGGAGTGGGGCATAGATTTAGCGAATCTGGCTCCTGGTGATGCTGCTTCTGCTAGCCCAAGGATCACTCTAAGTATTCAGGGCTTGTGTTGCTCACTGCACTGTCTGTGCACATAAATCTCCTTGACCCTACCCCCTTCCTTGTGCAGCAGGGATGTGTAGTTTTGTGGCAAAATTGAGAGCATGGATTCTGAAGTCAATTTTTCTGCACAAATTTGTTGAGCTTCGTTTTTTATTGACAAAATGGTCATAATAACGCAACTGCATTATAGGCTGGTGGTGAAGATTAAACAGTGAATGGCTAACGTATACAACATTACATGCTTCTAGAGTTACATGCTAACTCATCTGACAGCCACAACAGTCCCCTGTAAGAAATAGATGCTATCTAGGTTTCAGAACAAGCTACTTTTGCAGGAGGACTGGGCTAAATGCATGTGCTAAACTGCCAAGAGCTACCTCTAGAGGACCTCGAGCAGTGCCTGGCAGTGTCATGCCTCCCATAAATGTTATCCTTTTTTTTTTTAAAGACTTTATTTATTCATTCATGAAAGACAGAGGGGGAGGGGGAGAAGCAGGCTCCAGGCAGGGACCCCGATGGGGGACTCAATCCCAGGACCCCGGGATCACACCCTGAGCCAAAGGTAGATGCTCAACCGCTGAGCCACCCAGATGCCCCCTTAAATGTTGCTTTAGAAGACATACCTCCTCCTTCCCAAGTTAAGAAAAAACATAAAAACATGCTTCTAAACTTTATCATATGCTTTTGACTTTTTCTTCCTTTAGTACATTTGACATGAATTTTTCTTTATGTGACATAGGGCTCTACTTTTCTGGTTTTCTCAAGGGGACAGCTTGTTGTCCCAACTCCATTTGTGAGCAGCCCCACGTGCTCTGCTGATGGTGATGCTGCCTTTATCATCTGTCTTCTTGGGCTCAGTGTGCCTAGGTGCCTCCGTGGGTAGGGATGGCTGAGGTCACATGGAGCTGAGTGGCTTTGCTCTCTAGCAGTCTGGGCTTCAGGCCCCCAAAACAGAAGATGAAGTTCTAATCTCCAAAAGTCCTCTCTTGTTGAAGGACACACTGAAGTCCTTGCTTGGTGACACTGGCTGGCATCTGCTTTCCCCTCTGTCATCCAACATCAGCCCCTGACAGGTGACCAATGATGACCTTGGATCCACTCGGAGGCTGGTGGTTGATGTGACAGGAGCCTGCTGGTTGGCACAGGGCTGCCCAGCTGTGGGCACACACGCTGAGGGCAGGGAAGGGCTCAGTTTCCACACCTGGAGTGGGGTGTACAGCTGGCTCCTGCGGCAGAGGGCTCCCCACCTTCTTGGTGGCAACTGGCTGAAATTGTCAGTAGAGCCCAAACCGGGCAGAGAAGCCCATAGGCCTGAAGGATCTAGGGCTAAGGAAGCTAGGTGCACCTTTTGGGTGCAGGAAGGAGAAAGAGCAAATTTGCTGGGAGTTGGGACTGAAAGGCCAGATGCTATGTTCTCAGGAGTTCGCATTGGGCAGTAAAGTCCTGGCAAGTGCCGACCAGAGGGGAGAACATTTCCTAAGTATGTAACACAAGGGGCTATGAGAGGTGTAGTGATGCTAACTGAGCAGGAACGGCAACCAGGCCCAGTGTAGGCCTTGATTGTGACGCCAGGGGTGAGGATGAGGAGCCAGGAGTGCCAGGAAGGAGAGGGCACTCTCAGCTGATGGCTGGAACTGCAGGGCAAATGTGAGAAGTCGGGTGGCATTAGCACACTTAACTAAGATCACACAACACCTTTTGAAGAAATGAATGAACACGTGGCATATCACGTCTATGAGGTGGGGTGATCCAAATGGTACTCAGGGAAATCTGTTCGTTAGGAAACAAATACTGAAAATAAAGGAACTCAGCCTTCAAGTCAAGTTATCAGGACCCCCAAATACACCTAAAGCAAGCTGAAAGAAGAAGTAAAGAAAATAAAGAGGGTAAAGAGAAATCTGGGAGGATGACAGTTGAATTGAGCTGCACAAGAGCCCCCCTTCCCCCCCCCCACCAAGGAAGCGTATCTTTATGGGATGCACTCAGAACCGCAAGAACCGGGATGCACTGATGGTGAGTGTGGGGTGGATGGGGTAAAGCATGGAGGGGCAAGTGGGGAATGCAGAGCCCAGTGAGTCCTGCATCCCCAGGCTGGCAGAGGGCCGACGGCTTCCCGGGCTGGAGGGGCCAGCCACACTGCCCTCCTGGGCCAGTGCTTCCAATGGGTTCCCAAAATGTGTGTGCACTGCTGTGTGCTCCAGGCAGGGGCAAGCCTGGAGAGTGACCTGGAAATGTCTCTGCCTCTTGCAGGGGGGAGGTGATCAATGGAGGATTTGGCCTTGTGTTGGACGGGACCCAGGAGGCTGAGCAGAAGGCCAAGATGATGCTCAGCTGGGATGTCTCCAATGGAGTAAGTCACACCCAGGCCTTTCCACTGGCCTTCGCTGCTGAGAGAGACTCTGCTTCCATCTTGCCCAGAAAGCTGAGAGAGACTCTGCTTCCTTCTTGCACAGAAAACAGTCCTGTTGCTCCTGCTTACTGTTGTCTCCTCTCCGGCTGCTGCTGGATCTCTCCCTGCATTTTTGGGGGCTGTTGCTGGCTCTCTTTTGTGTCTTCCTGCCTCTGACCCTACTCCTCCAGGGCAGCCTCTGTCTGCATGGGGAGGGGGGCTTCTTTCCCAGTGAGAAGATGCTGATGCTGATGCTGAGCTCCTCCTTTTAAAGTGCTTTCTTTCTAGCTTCTCTGAAGTCAGGTCAGAGTGGGCAGCTCTGCAAGGCCAGGCAGCTGTCACCCTCTCTGGAGTGCACATGTGCGTGTGTCCCCGCGGGGGCCTACTCCTGCCTATGACCACTTCACAGGCCACGAGAAGGGGTGGGGGGCAGTGGGAATGGGGGGATGTGTGCTGGCAGATAGGAGGGTAAGGAGAGGGGTTCTGCATGCAGGAGCCCACACAGCTGGATGTTCGGTCAGGGGGTGAGTGTAAGAGAGAGGGTAAGAGGTCCCTGGAGGGGCTAACTCCACAGGGGCGCCCAGCAAGGGGGTAGTCTTCACCCCAAGGGCTGCAAACCAGTGAGGGGAAGGAGGGAGAGGCAAGCATGGCAGCAGGGAGGCCGGGGAAGCCCTGAGGAAGGAGGTGGAGAGAAGGGGAGGACTGGAGAGAGATTCTAAGGCGGAGCTGAAATGGAGGCGGATTCCCTGAGGATGGTTCCCAGACACCTGGCCTGGGGCCCTGGCAAGGAGGCGAGGTCTTTCTTGGACATGGGGTAGGCTGGGTCAAGGGATGGTCGGTCTCAGATGGGAGAGGTGGCTACATAAGCGGTCCAGCCAGGAGAGGGAGGTCTGAGCTTGGGGGGGGGGGCAGGGGAGATGCCAGGGCCCCACACAGCACAGGAGGGTCCCTGAAGCCAATGAGGGTGGAGACTTGCAGCCCAGCAGCTGGGTGTTCAGAGTGACCCCTGCGGGCCCTCTCCCCACCCTGCCACAGGTGGCTCGGCGCTGTTGGTCTGGGAACCAGAAGGCCTACGAGATCATCCGCCAGACGATGCAGGATGACAAGGGCCTGGTGGTGACCCTCCCGCATGAGGTGGCAGATGAGCGTGTGCTCTCACAGGCCCTGCGGCCCTGAGATCCTTGGATCCCTTGTCCCCCCTTCATCCCTATCCCCACCTCACAGCCACACCGCACCTGTCACTATACACCCTGGTGTCCTGGCTTCGTGGTTTCACACATGAGCCCTCATCTGGCCTCACAACACCCTGGAGGGTGTGCCGCTACCATGGGCATTTTATTTTACAAATGAGCCAGCAGAGACCAGAAGAGATGGGACTGTTTGTCCCTGACCTCTGGGAACCCTGGAGGGGCAGCGAAAGACTTATCCAGGCCCAAATCCTCCAGCCCACCACAGAGTTGACTCCAGCATCTTCTGGGGGGGGGGGTGTATGCCCCAAATACTGGGCATCAATCAAGTCCCTTCAAAGCCCCTGCCATTCCTTCTCCCACCAGGGGAGCAGGGTTTCCTTTGGCCTGGTTTTTAGCAACCACTCTGCCTCCTGTCTGCCTTCCAACCACACATAAAGTTGCTTTTCGGTCTGCTGGCCTGTCTAGCTGTCTGTCACGTTCTTTCTGGACCTTGGTGCCTCCAGCTGTGAACCCAAGGAACGTGGCCAAGCCCTGGGCTCAGAGTGCCCAGGGAGGAAGACAGGGATTAGGAAATAAAGGATTAGGAAAGAAAGTAAAGAAGCCATGGAAGGTTCATGGGCAGGGTGGTCATGGGTGGCCATGGATGGGGGTGGGGCTCTGCACTATAGACTCCATGGTACTTTGTGGGGGCGGGGTGGGGGGAGGAGAGAGGAGGGGCACCCCCATGGCTGGCACAGCAAGAAGCTCAAGAAAATGCAGCCCAGTCCCTTCAGAGGGAGTGCCTTCGGGACTCTGCTTGGGACCAGGTGTCCTGCAGGAGTCCTACTGGGCCTGAGGCTGCGTTCTCGCACCCCTCCCTCAGATCCCTGACTCTGGTACTGGCTGAATCCATAGCCCAGTCTCAGATGCAAAGCCCCCAAGCAAAGGGAATTACATGGTCATGCTTTTCCAGACCTTCCTTTTGAAGTAGACACCCTCCCCTTTTTAAGGATTCCCCTACTTTTAGGGCTTGACTTCTGGTTGCCTAATGTCCTAATCCTCTGGGGTGCTGCAGGCTTTGGGTGTGAGAGGCTTCCCCCCTGTGACCACCTAGCCCCTTGAGCTGAGACCAAGGCAGGAGAAGGATACAAGGTAGCAGTGGGTGGAGGTGTGAGAGAGTGGGGAGAGCAGTGGGTGGAGGTGTGAGAGAGTGGGGAGAAAGATCCCCAAAGAGAGCCCTACCCTCTGATGCCAGAGGAGTGTACCCTGGAGTGAGGACATTTGTCTTGTTTAGCTCACACAGTGGGACCCAGGCCAATCAGAACAAGCCCCTTTGGGGAGGGGACTTCTAGCTCCTCCCTCCAATCCAGGCAACCGTGGCCTCACCCTGCGGATCCTAAGGGACCAGGCCTGGGAGATGGGGTTAGGAGGGGGCGGGGGCTGGGGGACCACTTCCCTGTCCTTAGCAACCAGAGAGACATCCCCTTTCCTTTTTTTATTTTTTTTATTTTATTTTTTTTAAATTTTTATTTATTTATGATAGTTACACACACACACACACACACACACACACAGAGAGAGAGAGAGAGAGAGAGAGAGAGACAGAGACAGAGACATAGGGAGAAGCAGGCTCCATGCACCGGGAGCCCGATGTGGGATTCGATCCCGGGTCTCCAGGATCGCGCCCTGGGCCAAAGGCAGGCGCCAAACCGCTGCGCCACCCAGGGATCCCCCCTTTCCTTTTTTTAAATCAAGGTATTGTTGACACACAATCTTACATTAGTTTCAGGCATACAACACAGTGATTGGACAAGACTTCCCCTTTCCTTTGTAATTAATTAGGCTTTAGAAATAAAAAGCCAAGACTCCAACAAAACTTTGATTTATTAGTTTATGTTAATTTATTTAATGGAAAAGGATTATACAGGCCAAATGTTGCTTTCTGGAGTCCAGTGTGTGGGTGTGTTTCTTTTATAAAATAAAAATTTCTCTGACAAATACCCACCATTTGCTTCAACGTGGATGGAACTGGAGGGTATTATTCTGAGTGAAGTAAGTCAATCGGAGAAGGACAAACAGTGTATGTTCTCATTCATTTGGGGAATATGAATAATAGTGAAAGGGAATATAAGGGAAGGGAGAGGAAATGTGTGGGAAATATCAGAAAGGGAGACAGAATATAAAGACTCCTAACTCTGGGAAATGAACTAGGGGTGGTGGAAGGGGAGGAGGGCGGGGGGTGGGGGTGAATGGGTGACGGGCACTGAGGGGGGCACGTGACGGGATGAGCACTGGGTGTTATTCTGTATGTATGTTGGCAAATTGAACACCAATAAAAAATAAATTTATTATTTAAAAAAAATAAAAATTTCTCCTAAACTAGTAGGTGGATGTGGGGGCCTGGCAATCCTTAGCTTTTTCCTAATCCTGCCTGCCAGGACCTTGGAGATCATGGCCTCTCTGAACCTCAGTTTTCTTTTTTTTTTTAAAGATGTTATTTATTCATTCAAGAGAGTCACAGAGAGAGGCAGAGAGGAGGGAGGCAGAGGGAGAAGCAGGCTCGCTCTGGGGAGCCTGATGTGGGACTCGATCCCAGGACCTGATCACGACCTGAGCCAAAGACGACGCTTAACCGCTGAGCCACCCAGGTGCCCCCAAACCTCAGTTTTCTATGCTGTATAACAGAGTGTAACACCTGCATCTCAGCAAAGGACTGTGGTTCTGCTTTATTCTTACCCAGGTTATAAAAAGCAGTCAAGTGAAGGGATGAATCTCCTGCCCCTCTTCTCCTCTCTTCCCACCCCACCTACTGATGTTGAGGCCTGCTCCCTCCCCTGTAAACATCCAGAGCCAAGCAGGGAGTCAGATTGAGTGGCCCTACCACATGTGCTGGCTGTCCAGGCCAGGAGACAACCCCCCCACCCCCCGCCCCATGACCTCACTGTGCAAAGCAGGGCACCTTTGACGACACATCTCCCTTTCATTAGTTACTGGCATTAACTCAGCCCCTGGAGCTCACTGACAAATGACCACCTTAACAGAGAATTGAGAAAGAGATTGGGGGATGGGTGTCTAAGGAGCCAAGCCTTCCCCCCCCCCCCCCCCCACACCTGCAAAGAGGAGACCAATCCAGCTGGGGTCTGTGTCTTCAACCACTCCGCACTGTTTATGTCCTCCCTAGTGGCCACTTTCTTGTGCCCCGATTTTGTCTGGGCAGTAGTATATGCATTAAAACATAGTTGATTTTCAAAGCTGCTTTGTGATTAGGAGTGACCACTGGCCCTGTCCTGGTCATGAGATGAGGCTGGAAGTCTACAGGGTAGGACTTCTGAGAAAGCGGATATTCTTTAACAAAAGTGCAGGTGAGGCTGGATTGCTTTTTGCCCTAGGTCCTTCCCCCTGCCAGAACCTGTGCTGCCTGGAAGCAAAGCAAGCTTGCTGTGACCACAAGGGCCACAGAAGCACATGGAGGATGCTCATGGGAAGGCAGAGCTGCCCTGCCTCTGGGCAGCGTATGGAGCTGCTGTACCAGCCTCGCTGGCTCCACTCCAGATTCTGTCATCCTCACCTGTTAAAGCCATCCCAGGAGGGCTTTTGTCATATGCAGCAAGCTCAGTACTAAATCCCTACATTGACTGTCAACAAGTCTCCATGAAAGCACCCTGGGACATGTATCTGTGTGAACATTCCCTGTTCCCATGGAGAAACAAAGAGGATATGTTCAACGTTAAGACCAGGACAATCTTTCTTTTCCCATCCAGCACCTTCCCTTAAGGACAGCCAGGCAGGGCTCAATGGCCAGCTTCAGGCCATGGCTCAGGTGGCAACCAGCCATGTGCATGGGCCTCAGACCCCTTCTTGGTTCCATTCCAAGCCATGCCAGCAAGTAGGCAGCTGCCCTGGGTCACAGCCTGCTGCCACCTGCCAGAAGGGACAACTGACATCCAGAATGGGGCCATCACGGGGCTCAGCAGGGAGTTGGGCAGCCTTGGTGTCTGTGGAATGAATGGAGCAGTATGGCTCATTTGGTCATGTCTCAGGCAGACATAGGAACTGGATGTTTTAAAGGGCTTCTGTGTCCAGTTCAGTCTTTTTTTTTTTTTTTTTTTTAAGAAAGCAGAGATGTGTAGTCTACGGTGAGATGTTTTCATCAAAATGATTAAAATAGAAACCAGTTGGCCATGATGGGCACAGGCTTCAGTTGCCCTAAAAATTCAAGATTGTGAATGTAGTCACGGCCTCTCCCTGGGTAGCCCCTGGGAACTCCCTGGGAGTCAGATGACTTCCTTCCTGGCTAGCACAAGCCAGTTCAGGAGCGCTCAGCTGAATGATGAGCTCTCTTGCCCCAGGCTTTCCAGTAGCTTCCTCCAAGGAGCATGTGGGGTGGGGGGGTGCAGATTTGAGTTGCCCTCTTTAAATATGTTTGGCTTTGTCACCAAATTTTACAAGTTGGAAGATTTCACTTAAATATCGAGATTTTCAGTTTCCTTAAAGAAACCAAGAGATCAGGTGACTGTGCCCTCACCACCTTTGTGTCAGCAATCAGCTGGAGGCTCCTTGGGGCTGGGCTTGTTTTTTCCAGTTTGCCACAGCCCCTACCAGTCCTTTCTGCCCGCCAATGGTGAAGCCAAGTGTGCTTGTTGTTCCTTCTTGGGCTTGAGATGCTGGTTTCTTACACTGCTTCCCACTGTGCGTCACCTGCAGGGTCTCTGCTGGGATGTCAATCTCTGTGTTTTATCGTTCTCGATGAACAGAACCAATAGAAGATGTATCTGTACATATGTGTGTGTGTATGTATATATATATATATATATATAGAGAGAGAGAGAGAGAGAGAGAGAGAATGCTATAGATGTCTACATATAGATGTTGTTGTATATATTATGGCAGGCCCATGGATTCCTAAGTTAGAGGCCTGGAAAAGCCAGAGGCATAATTCAGTTCAAGTCTGAAGACCTGAGAACCAGGCTCACAGTGGTGTAAATCCCCATTCCAGAGCAGGAAAAGATACAATGAGGTGTCCCAGCTCAGTGAGCTATGAAACAGGGAACTCCTATTCCTCTGCCTTTGGTCTTTTTAGACCTCAACAGATTGAGATCTCAAGAGATTGCAGATGCCCACCTACTTGCAGAAGAGCCATCCATTTAAATGGGAATCCTGTCTGGAATCACCCTCAGAAACATACCCAGAAACAATGTTTAAAATGGCCCACTGAAATTGATGGGTAAAGTTAACCATCACAGAAATCTCCAATGGAGATATTTTGATTGATAATAAAAAGTATATATTTGGTCTTCATCCCCATTTCTGGCACAGAGCTCCAAAAACCCTTGGAATTTCCTAACTTTTTTTTAAATTTTTATTTATTTATGATAGTCACTGGAATTTCCTAACTTAACTGGCAAGAGTGATCAAGGTGTTTTGATATTCATAACAAACTTCTTTCAAGTACATCTGAGTTTATTAGTTAATGAG